TGGGTCAGGTCTTCTTGTCACACGAAAAACGTCACAACATCAGGACCATGGTCCGACAGGTCAGGGCGCTTCGCAGGGTCCCGCTTCTCCTGCTCTCCCAGTTGCTAGGGCAGATGATTTCGTGCCTATCAATCGTTCCCTTGGCAAGCCTGCACTCGAGATTCCTTCAATGACTCCTTCCAAGCCAGAAGAAAGGCAACAGCAACTCATCCCTTCGGGTCAGGGTTCCTCCCAAGGTCCTCAAGTCATTGCTCTGGTGGATTTCCCCCGCCTTGAGGAAGGGGTCCCCCTTTCTCGAACCACACCGCCTGGTGGTTACCACGGATGCCAGTCTGGTCGGTTGGGGGGCTCACTTCAACTCTCAGTTCACTCAAGGGCGTTGGACTGCAAGGGATCTCCGCAACGACATCAATTGGCTGGAGTTGCGGGCTGCCCATCTGGCTCTCTGTTACTTCCAGAGTCACCTGTTGAGACATCACATTCTTCTACGGACGGACAATGTCACGGCAAAAGCCCACATGAATCGCCAGAGCGGTACTCATTCCAGACTCCTCATGGACGAAGCCACTCAGTTGGGTCTTTGGGCAGAGAGGCACCTGCTCTCCTTACAAGCAGAGCATATAGCGGGAATCCACAACACTCACGCGGACTGGCTGAGCTGCACCAACATCGATCCGGCGGAATGGCAGCTACATCCCTCTCTATTCCATCAGATTGTTCAGCTCTTTGGCCTACCAATGGTGGATCTCTTCACCACTTCAGGCAATGTACAGATGACCCGATTCTTCTCCAGATACTGGACACCAGGAGCAGAAGGCACCAACGCTCTACGCTGCCAATGGCCTCCGGGTCGACTCTACACCTTTCCTCCCATTCCTCTGATTCTGAAAGTCGTACGGAAGATCTTGGAGGAGAGGGCGGAAGTCATCCTGATCGCTCCCTTCTGGCCCCGGCGGGCCTGGTTCGCAGACCTCAAAGGTCTATCAATTGCTCCTCCCTGGAGGATTCCACCGGACCAAGTTTCTCTGATTCAAGGGGCGGTGACACATCCAGACCCCCAGTGGCTTCAACTAGCCATTTGGCTATTGAAAGGGACCTACTGAAGTGAGAACTTTTTTCAGAGGAAGTAATAGACATTCTCCTTGCATCTCATAGAAGTTCCACCACTCGCATCTACGAAGCCACCTGGTCCGCATTCCGTCGCTTGTGTGCCTTGTTGCACATCGATCCTACACGGGCCTCCATTCCACAGGTCTTGCAATTTCTCCAGGTGGGTCTCAAGGCAGGACTGGCGGTCACTACCCTTAGGCGGCAAGTTGCAGCCCTGTCTACTGTTCTTTCCTGTAAGGGTCACAGGTCTCTGTCCCTTCATCCCTGTGTCAGGTGTTTTCTGTGGGGAGCGGCCAATTTGCGCCCCCCCCCTGTCGTTCACAGATATCCTTCCTTGGACCTGTGTCTGGTTCTGCAAGTTCTTATGGAGATGCCTTTCGAGCCACTGTCCACTGTCAGTCTAAAGTTTTTGTCCTTCAAAGTCACTTTCTTAGTGGCCATCACTTCAGCTCGATGAGTTTCCAAACTGCTGCACTTTCAGTACACAGGGATCTGTGTAATTTCCACTCAGATCGGGTCATCTTGCGTTTGGACCCCACCTTTCTCCCAAAGATCAATACCTGCTTCCACAGATCAGAGGAAGTTATTCTTCCGGACTTCTGTCCCCACCCCATTCACTACAATGAACGTCGCTGGCATAAATTGGATGTTCGTTGAGCGCTCAGCACATACATCTCCCGGACGGCTCCCTTCCGCAAGTCGGAATCCTTGTTTGTTTTGTTTCAACCTATCTCACTTAGCTCCAAGGTTTCTTCGTCTGCCATTGCCAGGTGGATCAAAGCCTGCATCACCCTGGCTTACGAGCATAGGAACAAACAACTTCCTGGTTGTGTTACAGCTCACTCGACTCGTAGTGCTGCCACCACCGCTGCCTGGGCGACACAGGCCCCTCTCCTCGAGATATGCCGAGCAGTTACCTGGGTGTCACCAAATTCTTTTATCCATCATTACAAGTTGGACAGATTTGCGTCAGCCGAGGTGGCCTTTGGCCGTAGGGTTCTTCAGCACGTCCTCCCTGTGGAGGGCTGTTCCACCTCCTCTGTTTTTTCCCGCCCTGGGGATATTTAGCTTGGGTATATCCCACTCAATGGACTCTCTAAGCAGCGCAAGGGAGAATGAACATTGGACTTACCTGAAGGTTCTTTCTCCTTGCACTGCGTGAGAGTCCATACCCGCCCTTGTTGTGTTTTTTTGTCTGGGGTTTTTCTTTGTGTTCTGTTTCGCTCAGGCTGTCAGTTTCGTCGGATTCAGACGTCGTGCGGAACTGGGCTAAACAGGAAGAGGAGGTGTGTTTAGTCAAATTTCTTACTCAGTCAGAGGCCAATCGGATGAGGAATCTCACTCAATGGACTCTCACGCAGCGCAAGGAGAAAGAACCTTCAGGTAAGTCCATTGTTCATTTCCTCCCTTATCAGCTGGGACTTGGGAGGCAGAGAATAGATGGGGGTGGGGCCAGTCAGAATTTTTACTACTGGTTCTCCGAACTACTCAAAATTTCCACTACCAATTCTCCAGAACTGGTCAAAACCTGCTGAAACCCACCTCTGGTCTGTGCACATTGACAAGATTACAATTTGTTTATTTGTTCTTTAAAAGTAACAATATCTCTTTAGGAAAATGCCTCTTAAGTAGGGAGAGCTGATGCAGTTCATCACCTGTGTGTGTGTTGCGTGTGTGTGTGTGTGTGTGTGTGTGTGCATGTGTCTGTCTCTCCATCCATCTTCCATTTACCTAACTATCATTTATCTATTAGTCAATCACGCTTGTAAGTTGTCCATTCAGAACAATTTTGAGCATAATATAAAAAAAAATCAGTACAATAATCAAAATCATGAAAATGGAATGGCAAAAAGATGTCCAAACAGAGAGACAGCTGATACGGTAACAGCAGAACCATCCCAACATGGTCCCACACTGTACCTTAGCTCAATGCTTAAGCCTGGATTACACTTCTTCATCGCTGCACGTCAGGGAACGTACCTATCTGTCATTTGGGAATGGTTGCATAGCTGTTGCATTTATATTTGTGCAAATGTAACATTCTGGTTAGGGGGCGCTCAAACAACAAAGCACAGAACAGGAAGTCGGATCAACAAATCAGCCTGCAGGATGAAAATCTACACACAACCCAGAGTAGGGATTTGGGAGGTCTGTGCATCAGCTATCTGCAACCTACGCTTACCCATCAGCTCCTTCGCAGCATAGGCATATGGCGATGCATACATAAAGTTGCGGGTAACTCTAAATCAAGCTTAAGGGAATGGACCTCCTCTAAAGGAAGGGTGATCTAAAAGAGAGCAGGAGTGGGCTGTTTGGATCTCTGGGAGCTTGCTATTCAGAGGGCAGATTCAATAGCAAGAAGGCACATTTGTTGGGTCTCATCACATGGCATTGTTTAATAGGTGGATATGAAGCACGGCAACTCTATCAGATTGTACTAGATGTGTAGACACTATAGGTTGATCTTTCATGGCCCTATGCCATTAAGAGCGTCACAGATGACAACTAGCAATTCAAATTGCACCTTGATGGCTACAGATAATTACTGCAGCTTACATGGCAGAAGTATTATATGGACACATCATGGTATGCCCATAAAGGCTCATGTGATTACATTCTGGACTACCTGAAGTTCTTTGAATTATAGTTAAGAGCAGCCCCATGTAGAGCATATTGACATAATCCGTAAAGCAGTGGCCTTATGTTGTCCTCTTTCCTCCTCCTTTTGTTACTTTGGAATGCTATATATATAGTTGCCTAATGGTTGTTTCTAACTTAGTTTTCTAGTTTTCTTTGACTAGAAGTGTGAACAGCTTCCTTAATGTATAATATTGTTTACTTCCAGCCATATATAGTAGTGTAGTAATTATCTGCTGGGAGAAAAATATTTTTGGTTGTCTCTAACTTTACAGGCAGATGTTCTACGGATAAATTAATATGTCAGATCCTTATGTTGTTCTGTCATAGTTCCTTTAAATCAGTTTCTTTTATTGAACTCAATATGAAAACTTCTTTTGATTGAATTGTACTTTAAACATTAGATTTATGTGATGTCTTCCAGAGAGAAAAATCTATAAAAACCAAATAATCTGTGTTTTCTGTATGGATACCACTCTCTTTTTTTCTCAGTACGTGCGCACACACACACACACAGAGTCTTCGAACTTATGACCACATCTGGGACTGGAACTTTTGTTGCTAGATGAGGTGGCAATTGAGACTTTTTATGCCATGGTTGTTAAACGAATCACCACTGTCATTAAGTGAATCATGTGGTCATTAGGGGAATCTGGCTTTGCCCATTGACTTTACTTATTGGAAGCTAGCTGGGAAGGTTGCAAGTGTCAATCACATGACCCCCCCAGGATGCTGCTGCTGTCGTAAATACAAAGTTGCCAAGTGACTGAATTTTGATCACCTGACCCCAGGGACACTGCGATAATTGTAAATGGGAGGACCAATCCTAAATTACTTTTTTTCAGTGCCATCATAAGTTGTAGTCGTCACTAAATGAATGGTCATTAGTCGAGAACTGACTGTATGTATATATAAATGGGAAACACGGAGACAATGTCAAAGCCTAGGCAATTTCAAGCACATTGCATATATGACCAAATTATTAACTGTACCCTAAATTTTAATGAGATCTGACTTTGATTAATAGATATTCTTCTTTTGCCTTGCTTGCAGTTTTAATTAGTCTTTTTAAAATTAAACTTATTAATGAAACAAAAAGATTGAATCCCTTTAAACTGAGCTCCCTGCCTGAATTCTTGTCATGTATTCTTGCTTTTATCATGATCCTGTATGACACCTTTAAAAATGAACTAATTATCATCCAAGCTTTATTTTATTAATATTGATTTGAATTTATGTATTTTATTTTTAAGACTCTCCAACAACTTGGAAAACACGTAAGAGAATGAGCGTGCTGCTAATTGAAGCTTTTTATGGAGGTTCACATAAGCAGCTCATGGACCTTCTCCAAGAAGAAATAAGAAACTGTGTCCTTTTTACTCTTCCAGCAAAGAAATGGCACTGGAGGGCAAGGACTGCAGCTCCCTACTTCATGCAGAATGTACCAGCCAGTGCTGATTACAGGTAAAGAGAGCTATGAACACCTTTCTAAAGCTAAATGTGGAGTTTCAGATTGAGTCATAACACAATTCAGTAGTTTCTGAGGTCACCCAGAGACAACATCCTGGTTAAAAGATTGACAGGCCCAGTAGTTCCGAGAATGTCTTCAGTTTCAGTCTTCAGGTACTTGATTGAAGAACATTTCACAGCAAGATTGTGAATAAAATGCAGAATAAAATACAGGAACTTTGAAGCAGAGATGATTGATGGCTGTGCTCTTAGGGCAGGGATGGTGAACCATGGCCCTTTTATGACTTGCAGTCTTCAACTCCCAGAATTCTTGAACCAGTCTTGACTTAGTAACAGACTTGTTTTTTGTCCAAGCAGCAGAATTTCTTTTAGTCTTCAACATCACCTTGGCATCAAAGAAATCACTTTTATCTGAGACATAACAAGCAGTGTAAGGTCAGGTAATATATCGAGAGAACCAAAAGGGAGGATTCCCATACGCCAGTAAAACATGTTTTATTGTTGACCCAATGCATTTTGAAGTTAATCTTTTATTAAGGGCACAGTGTTTGCACTGGTCAATTTTAATTAAATGAAATGCCTTTCTAGAAATAGAAAGATTTTGCTATCCTGCAAAGGCTGTGAAGAGGTGACCGGAGGGAAACTCTAGATCTAGGTCTATCGATCCAAGTGTCTCCAATGACCCTGCTAAGTACCCTGCTAAGGTATATTTCTGTTGGTGTTGGGCTACACAGATGGACCTCTAAAGATAATCTTTGTAGATGGCTTGGCTCATTTACTAACAATAAAGACTTAAAGACTTCCAGCAAAAGAGGCCAGAAAGCAAAAGGAAATGTGATGGAGTTCCTTCTAACCAATCAGATCCCATCTAACAATTCTGTTTGGAACATATCATTAAGTCTAAAGCCAGATTAGAATAGATTTTGAAGTATCCGTATCTCTAGGAAAACCTCTATCTGGGTTTTGTGTTCAAACTATTTCCCCCAGTATACTAAATATTCTTTTAATACTATGTTAGCTCAAAACAAGTCAATGTTAATAAACTGAGAGTTAAGATAAAGCAATCTATTACCCTATTACTTGACTAGGGAAGATAACTTCTCCTATTAGGCAGAATTAGACAGTGGTTTTCAGGCAGCAGATATTGGGGTCAAAATGGGAATAGTAGCAAAACATTTGGAGGACAAAGTTATATCTACCATGCTGCTTGCTTGGTTCTGCCTAAAGTAATGCATTGCCCCTATGGTGGTGGCTGCTTCTGTGCTAGTGTTGAAAGAAGATTTCATCTATTAAGTATGATCAGCTGCTCTACATGGAATATGACAAAGAAAATATTTAGTCCTTCTTCTCAAGCAACAAAATTCCATTGGCTGGTGCTGTGGATAATTCTCTATGCTTTTCATGTACATTGCTTGGAAGATTTGAGACCCAAGGAGTAGACTCATTTTATCCCAGAATTTTGGCTTTTGCCTCTGGTGAGTTCAATTTAGCTTGAAGAGTTACCATTTTTAACTCTTCCTTTAAATAATCAGCCTACCTATGTATGTCCAAAGCATGATTTCTAAACTTTAGGTGACCATATGTTTCAACTGATGGACTTTTTGTATTATGTTTTATGTCTTCATCTCCCATTACTAAATATTTTCAGTTTTTATTTGTAATGTATATCAGACTTTTCACTGCCCAATAAATCTGGCTGAGAAGAAAATGAACCCTTTTACTATTTAGGACATCTGTGTATGTATTGATTTTTGAAATTTATTTATTAGAACATATTTTATATACTTCTCAGATAAAGACTCCCAGAGTTGCTTCCTAGCTTTATAGTTTCAGCATGGAAAGACACAACACAAAAAGAATAATAAATTGGGAAGAAGAAGGAAAACTCAGATGCTAAGTTCTTGAAAGTTATAATTTATTCCTTTTTTATCCCTTCCCTTGCATGAAACACAGTCCAATGGAGGGGGGGAGTTATTTTATTTCCTAACAACTCTAAGGAACAACATGCTTTGCAACAAGAACTACCAGTGAATTAAGCCTCAGCAAAGTTCCACTATTATAGCAATAGCACTTAGACTTATATACCACTTCATGGTGCTTTACAGCCCTTTCTAAGCGGTTTACAGAGTCAGCCTATTGCCCCCAACAATCTGGGTCCTCATTTTACTGACTTCGGAAGGATGGAAGGCTGAGTCAATCTTGAGCCACTCAGGATCGAACTCCTGGAGTGAGCAGTATCCTTCTAAGTCAATGCTGTATTTTGTTCCTCTTACAAGATGCATGCAACAACAACAATACATTTTATTGATTAGTTGTCTGACCATATGAAAAACCTATAAAACCAATACAGAGAAAAATAGCAGGACATATTCACAAATAAATTGTCATCCTGTCCCTTACAGTTAGCATACAAAGAAAGAAAGCAAAGCAGAAAGTCATTTTTTTTTTTCATTTATTGGAAACACAGTTACTGAGCAAGCTAATAACTAACCACAATTTTCAATCCTGCATTTAATTAGCTTTCTTAAGCAACAGTTTTTGAAACTGATGATGTTTTTCTGTTTTATTTTATTTTATTTTTTGATACTTGTATTTGCTTCCCAAATAACTCTTATTTCTCTGTGATGAGATCAATAATATATTGGTTGTCCAAGTTTGAGATTAATTATTTTGTGATCTAGGCTTCTCAATTTTGCTTCTAATTCTAAGAGTTGAAAGAGTTTTTGGTTAGGTCACTTTTTGCATGTGTGAAGCAGAATAAGACTCTTTATTTAAAATGCAAAGTGCCTGTTCCCTGAGTATTCTTTAGTTCTTCTAATGTCATATAAGCTGCCAAATATATATATTAAGAAGGAGGTGATTAAGTGAGGATTTTAATTTGCTTGGCTTTTGAAACTATTCTGTTTTCTTGGACTATGTATGACATAAGATTATGCATTTTTTCCTACATCACAACCCTCCAACGTGTTGCAGTGTTATCTCAGTTCCTTCAAGTTCAGCAGCCCAAGCTGTCCAGAGCTAGCTGCTTTAAGCTAATCAGACATATCTCATAGGCATACACCTCATTAGTTTACTGTACAGTTACCGTGACCTAAGATAACTTAATCCCAATTTGTTAAATAACCTGTATTTTAAAAGAAAGTTCTAGAACCTTGTAAACTTATTTGAAATTACCAAGCTTGCAATCTGTCATGCAGTTCTGTTCAATATAGCACTCAGAAACATGGACAAATAAAATAAAATAAAATCCACATTTAACCAGTTCAACATTATGAAGAACTAATGATACTGCTTTTTATTTTGATATTGATAATAGACAAGATAACATAGTTTTGTGTTGGTGTTGTCTTATAAGCATGTGGTTGTGGTAGTCCATCTGCAATTAAAACATTGAAGGTCCCATTAATTTTGGGGGAAGAACTAAGCATCTGTTTTATATTTGCTTATATAGGTCTGTAGGTCTTCCATGAGGTAATCTTTGCTTGATCACATGTGTTGGTGGTGGTGCTGGTGATAATTACCAATAATAAATGCTTGGGCTATGCCTGCTTTTTAGTTCTGGGCTTTAACTGCCTTTGTGATGAGCTTTTTTTATTCATCGGTAATTCTGGAGTATGTAATGGCGAGCTTCCTAATTGGGATGACATACAAACTTCAGTAACTAAGCAAATAAATAAAAACATAGCTGTTTGATTTCAATTCCAGAAAGGTGCTTTGGGACATATATAAGTGAAAATGTAGCACCTGTTTGCAGCAGTTTAAAGTAGCACTGCACAGACCTAATGAATGGAATATAAGTAGTTCTAGACTTACAACCAAAATTGGTACCAAAACTTCCTTCGTTAAGGAAGGCAGATATTAAGTGAGTCACACACAAGTTTACATTTTTTTAAAAAATTGCATGCTCTGGTATCCTGGCTTCTGCTGTGTTTCTAATACGGTGTCATCATTTGAAAGTGGAGTTATATCCCTAGTTTCATGTTGGGCCAGCTTTACATAATTCTGTTTTTTTAAAAAAAATACAAAATAGCTTTTCTCTTTTCTTCTATCTTTGGCCAAGTAAGAACATCCTCAGTTTGGAGACAATTAGATTCTCATCATTTTCAACATATGTAGATGAAGCTTATTCCTAAATAATCAGGAAAACAGGCTTCTCTTGGTATTGTTAGAAAGTCTTGTTCAACTTCAAAAGAAGAATAGTTTAAAACATAATAAAAATAGACTGGAGTCTAAGCAGAGAGATGCCTTATTAAAATACACATTGAGAAACCCATCTTCAATCTGTTGTTCTTCAGATTTAAATCTTCCCTTAAGCTTAGCACAAATCTTACTATTTGCTGAGCAAAAGAGAATAGGTTTGTTCCTCATATTTTAAATCTCCTGACTTAAAATTACTCATTATTATGTTATAGTGCATAACCTTTTTGCCATCGCGTGCCAGGAGTGTGTGTGTGTGTTGAACGTGTGCATGCTCACATCCATAATTCTCTGCGCCCTGCCCCTGCACATGCATGCGCAACCCCCCCCCCCGCCCGTTCCTGGCATGCAATGGCCCTGTAGGCCCGTTTTTATCTCTCACCAGGCTCCAGAACCATTCTAGGAGTCTGGGGAGGGTGAAAACAGTCTTCCACACCCTCCTGGAGGACTTCCGGAGGCCAGAAGCAACCCTTTTGCCAACATCCGGTGAGGATATGCAGTGCGGGTTCCAGACAGATGAGCTGTATTCGAGAATTGGTCTAGCAAATGTTTTGTATTCTCTAGTTAGCAGTACAATATTACCAGAGAAGAAGCCCCACAAGATAAGGAAAAGCTAATCTTTTAGCTTTTTCTTTCTTTTTTTTTAGATTAGGAAAAGCTATGCAAGATTTCAGGAAAATTAATATGTCAAGTCAATGGGAAGAAAACAAGAGATTGAAAATTGCAGTCATGTGACATATTTAACAACAATGTGGGATTTGTTTAATGGTGGCAACCTGAAATGCCAGTATGGCCAC